TTTTTCCTATTGAAGTACTTTTTATGACATGTTGACTCCAACCTGTCCCCATGCTAGAAATAGATATAGTCTGTCTCTGTCCATAGAAGGCAGGGTAGATATGCACCTTTATAGACTAACTAAATAAGATATATAGGGCATATCTACATGTTCATTAATGTGCTTCTGTTAATGTACATTAAATTTAGTATCTCCATTGTGAGGTACTAGAAAAAGGTGCATTAGCTTATTTTAATACGCATTAGTGAAAGCGCACAGTTTTTTTGTTATGCTTTAATGTTCTTAAAATAGGCTAATGCGCATTAAAGTGCACCTATAGATGTGCCCATATCTGAGCACAAGTTTTCATGAACCCAAGTTCACTTCATCAGAGGGTGTGAAAGCTCAGTGTAGAGCGGAGTAATCTTTACAGCATCTGATGAAGGGAACTTGGGTTCATGAAAGCTTGTGTCTTCTGACTGACTTCAGACTAACATGGCTAACTACCTCCTTCTGTCTAGCCATAGTCATCAGCCTGTCTTATAAGCGATCGGTAGGCAGATCATTTGCATGGAGCACAACTTTTAATCACATTTCTAGCAAAGTTCATAATGAGGATTATTTGCCATTTATTTGCCCACAGAACAGGTCTAATGCAAGTTAGCGGATCACCACACTGCTCATCAAACTACTTCAGCCTTGACCTTGAGGGGACAGCCTGTAGGGGAAGCAGGGCAGTTCAGCTTCTATTCCCCCTTCTTTTCTTTACTGTCTCTGCTGAGACACTAACTGGAAACAGTTTTCTGATGTGCTTAGTGGTTCTCCAGGGACTGAACAGATGACACCACCATTTTTCATATTGACTAAAATACCATCTGCACTCTGTTCCACCTACCTGGGTTTGAATTGGAGCATAGGCCTAGAAGTGAAAGGCTATATTCTTTTACCAAAAGCCTGATCAACCAATCTGTTCCCTACATGTGCATTTTTATGTATGCTGTTACAAAGTCTTCCATATTGAGTCTGTTTTATAAATCTTTGAATTCTGTGCAGTATCTCCTTTCTCTTGTATTTAACTGAATGACTGTCTTTGTACTTTTGCCATAACTAGTCTCAAATTGTGCTCCATCCAAAGTTATTCTTTTTTGTCAGGCATAATTTTATAACAGGTTTCAATTCTTTTGCTTCCCCAGGGAAAGTATCACCTCTTCAAACGGGGTGACAAAGAATGCTGTGTTGGGTCCCCTTCGTAATGTGCATTTTTGGTTAGTGTAGTTTGTAGTCAGTTTTATTTGTTGATGATTTTCTTTTACTGGACTAGGGAGACAGACTTCCTGTTTTCTTTGTCCTGGCTTCTCTCCCCCAGTCTGTCTATTGGGATGTTAGTGTTCTGACTGCACTTTCTTAATGCAGTTGTTTCCATAGGTCCTCTCACTAACTGGCAGAGAGGACTTTCTTATACTGAGAACTGGGAGCCAGGTAGTCCGGATTTTATTTCTGGCCCTGCTGTTCAATTGTACAAGTTCCTTCATTTCATTTTCCCCATCTGTGAAACGAGCCTGCCTTACAGGAGCTGTTGAGTCTAAATTAACTGCTTGCAGAGTATTTAAATAGCAGGTGCTGTAGAAGGGGCAGTTTCCTGATGTGTCAAAAGGGAGGAGAAGACGTAGCATCCAATATTTTGAGTGATCATTTTGAGTGATCAGTCTGAGATGACAGGTCAGATTTTTTTCAGTCTACTTAGCATTACATAGCCCCAAATCAGTTGAAAACAGAGTTTCCTCTGACTTCAGTGCAGCTGTAAGGGAACTGTAGATCAGATCCTAAGGTTTCTAGTCAGACGTGTAGAAAATGAGAAACATAATTATCAGTTACCTGTAAAAAGCTCAGTATAAAGAACTTGACTGGCAGGACAGAGGCATAGATGAAATCCCATTAGTTCTCATGGGATAGCATTCAACTACCTTAAGATGAGACCTCCTTTGTCTTACAGCCTTTCGCCTCATTGGCTACACCTTCCAAATACTGCCATGGAGGCAGGGTTCCTGCAGACAGTGGCTTCCTTCATTACACAGCCCTGATTCATCCTTGGAGCAGTTCTTTATTGGGCACTGAAGAAGATAGTAATCCTGGGCAAAAAGCAGCATGCCTTCATGTAATTAGACAGTGTCATGTGGATGTGCATAAAGGATTTGGATTAAGGTTGCACAAGCATTTTCTAGCTTTTGAGCACTTGGCTTTGCTAGTTTAATGCTATCCCAGCATAAGGGTGTGCGTGCGTGCGTGTGTCTTCTAGGGGGTTGGGTTTTTTAAAATAGCTAACTGAGGAAAAAATGCATCTTTTTGATACCCACAGGAGTTGTGCTCGGCTCAAGCATTTACCATTTGAGGTAGGCAGCTGACTGATGAGACTCAGTAGAAGGAATGTCAGTTCTGGAAGGTCCCTGTCAGATGTAGGCTTTTCTCCTCTTCTCCAAAACTGTGACAGTTCCTCATCCTGTCCCAATCTTCTCTTTTCATAGCCGAGGCCCACTTATCTCCAGGCTCATTCTCTTTACCTCATCAGTCTTGAAGTGCTTCAGCATGTGTGCACTGTGATTTCTGTGCCCCGCCCTCCCTCCCCAAGGCTAATAGCTTGGCCAAATGGAGGTGGATTTTTTGTAAGGACATCTAAAGGTACATCCTTAATGCACAGTCCTCCCGCTACCAAATTTTATATCTCTTGCTTCAAAGAATTTGGGCACTGGTGCTTTCCTAAGAAAAGATGGTCAGAATTATTTTCACACAAGTAGAGTAGCACATTTTCCCCTAACCTTACTGGGAAACAGCTGAACTGTTTGGGTTGAGATTTAAAAGCAAAAATGAAACCAGTAGCCAAGTACTATACATGCACAGGGACCAAGAATAGAAAATATCAGCCCAAACTCTTTGATTGGCACAGTTAGAAGCATATGCAAGGCAGAGCTTCTGAGACTCTTTGGGCAACCTTAATGAGAGATGCTACCAAGACCACTCATAATATTAACAGTATCTTCTGTAGGCTATAGCCAGAAGAGGGCAGTGGTTCATGTTGTTTTTGGGAACTGATGGAAACACTTCATTGGCATTGTCTCATATATTGCATTTGTCTACAAAGCAATCACATTTATATACATGCGTATCGTGTGTGTGTGTTCTTGTGTTTACTTTTCTGTAAGGCACCACTTTGTATTCACATTTACTTCATTCACGTAGGTTAGATCTGTGCATATACCATGTAGGTGTAATTGCACATGTTAAGTACAGATGGGTACATTTGTGTGATACGAGTACGTGTAAGTATGTAAATCTGACTGCAGCAAGTCTTTGGATATGAGAATTGAGAGATCCTGTTGGCTGTACACCCATGCATATTGTATGCAGGGATAGCTCTAGGGATTTAACCATTTCTTGTTTTTGTTGCCACAGGTAAAATTCTGGTCACAGCACATTTCCTTTATCCTTGTTGGAATAATCATCGTCACCTCCATCAGGGGCTTACTGATCACACTCACAAAGGTACATCTGGCCAGAAGCCTGTCTTGTAATTGTAGTCCATGAGACCTGTGTTTTTCTAACTTGGTGAAGGAGAACACACTGTAAACTTTCTAGACCCGTAGGGCCTGTGATATCTATATATAGGGAGTGAACAAATAGGATCTGAAAAGGACTGGGATATTGGTCCTTGCTAGAAGTGGGTCTGGGGGGTAAAGTGCTCATAGAGACAGAACAAAAGCTAACTTTTTTTTATTAACATGGAACAACTTAACAGGACCATCCATAGCCATTCCAGTCCCTGAACATGGTATAAGAGCCTCCTGTTTGCACAGAGCAATGCAAGAAATGTTAGGGTTCTAACTAGCAACTAATAAGTGTTTTAAAGTCTGTTTTATCATGTGTGTGCGCCTACATCATCCATTGGTCGCCATAGCTTTTACTGCTAACTACCTGCATGAATCAGGTCTAGTGGTTATGGCCCTAACTGATGCCAGGGTGCAGTCTACGTTCATCCCTAGTGTTACCTCTGAGAAGAGTGGGAGATTTTAAGAAAGGAAGTGTGATGTGGCAGGTGGGATTTGTTAGTCCAGCCTACGGAATCGTGTGTTGGGTCTGGATCGCTGCATCTAAATGACAGGGCATTTCTGTAAAACTGGCAGAGAATTAACTCTTTAGTACACTGATAAATAAATCATGTCTGCACACAGTGGGGAGGCTCAGCTATTCTAGTCTTCAAATTGGACTGGGGTGAGGAGCTGGGCTAGAATGTATTCTGGGGGGGGGCCTCTTTAGAGCCTCTACACAGGCTGGCTGAACAACATTGGTAAATTGTTCAGTGAGATGTGCTTAAATGCTCAGCCCTTGGCTGTTCTGCGGGTGGGGTCCTGCTCCTTTTAAAAAGTGTGTATAACCCTCCAGGAAGCATGGTATATGTTTCTTTCAGTGCTGGTTTTTAGCACTGATGGGGAAAGATTGGAATGTGTACTCCTTCCACATTCTGATGCGCGGGACCACAGACCTGCCCAGTGCCAAGAAACCTATTTCCAGTTGCTTTTTTTTTCCTCTTTACAGTTCTTCTATGCCATCTCCAGCAGCAAGTCTTCCAATGTTATTGTTTTGCTGTTGGCACAGATCATGGTGAGTATGCAGACCAGTCAGCAAGCCTTTGCTACATTGTTCCATCTCATCAAGAGCAGCCAGTTGTGAGATACTCAGCTGACACATTTCCTGGGTCTTTTTTGCAGGGCATGTACTTTGTTTCTTCAGTGCTTCTGATCCGAATGAGCATGCCGCTAGAGTACCGCACTATCATTACGGAAGTCTTGGGGGAGCTGCAGTTCAACTTCTATCACCGCTGGTTTGATGTCATATTCCTGGTTAGTGCGCTCTCCAGCATCCTCTTCCTCTACTTGGCACACAAGCAGGCCCCAGAGAAGCACATGGCACTCTGAGGCTGTACTGGTTCAACCCACTGTTCTGGTACCTCACCTCTTGGCTGGCTGCAGCTCTGTAGTACCAACAGGTATAAGAGAAAAGAAGAGCAGCTCCTCTGTGCTCAGACAGTGCGACTTGCTCGTTGAACTTCCATGATTGTCTTTCTTCAGCTCTGTGGCTCATCCTGTGAGGGTGTCATGGCTTGAACATGCGGAAGAGGCAGAGACAAGTAGAGGACAGCTGAGAGTCAAGGAATAGGACCCTCGTGTGACAGTGGCGCCTTACATGACTTCAGGAGATATCGACTGAAGGGGAAACCTGTTACAATCAGGAATGGAATAAAATCTTCAAAGAGGGCACTGTGGAAACAATATGTTAAAATGAACCATTCTTAATCTGGTGGGCAACTTAATATTGGAGGGTGGTGATTCTGGAGCCAAGTGTCTAAATCTGTGGAATTAAATCTGTTTTTTTGTAATACCTCACACTAGCATGTCAGTTGTTTTGTGTCTTCCCCAAAGACTCTGCTAAGCATGGACCCGAGTGTGTTTCTGCCTGGCAGAAGGAGGAGATAGATTCCAGGGAGACATATTTCAGTAGTGTCCAGCTTCCTTAGGATTTGGATTCGTATCTTTGTTTTCTATCTAATGAATCTGAATCCAGGCCTCAGGTTTTTTTTATCCTGTAATTTAAATGGAACCAAGGTTTTAGGTTACTGTTCACTCAAGTCAAAGATCACAACACTGTCTAGTTTGTTATGTTATAAATTCAGTGCTCCCCATTGACCCATGGATTCTTCTACATCAGTCTATATCCCTTGTTGGCTTAATTCATTCACTAAAGTAAATTTAAGTCACATAATTTAAACTTGTAGCTTCCTAAAGGCCGTTCTCCCAGGCCTTGTTCATTTTGAAGTTGTTCTGGGACGTACATCATAGATGGCAGGGGTAAGACCTGAGAGAGAGAAATAGCCACTCTGAACAATTTATTGCAGCATTGTCTCAGACTTACAGCATAGCAGACACTATCAGTATTACAGTGGTGCTCACATTGCATTAGAGACAGCGTGTTGGCACAGAGTCAGGCAAAAACTGGACACGCTGTGAATTACTTACATAGTTCTAACTGCTGTCATTTGCAGCTGCAGAGAAGGAAATAGTACTCAGAGGTTCTGAAGAGCATATGATTAAGTTAACTTATTGTTGTGAAAGAGACAGCATCCACAGTTCATTAGCACAAAGGAAAGGAGTGCTCTGCACCGAATATATTGGCTTATGATGTATTACATCTGCTGGGTTGGAGTGATTGTATTACAGTAAACATGGGATGTAATCGGCAGAGTGAGTGATTCAGTTGATGCGCTTTGATTAGTAGGAAAGGTCTCTCTTGTGGGAGATGATGGATCAATTCCTTTGCAGTTAGCTTTCTTGTCCTTAAAAGGCTAAAATACATATTGATTTGTGACTCGCATTTCCTCCCCCTTCAATGATATACTTAATTATGTCCCTTATTAGTCATTTAAGCCTTCACAGAGCACTAATACAAGTAAGTAACTAACTGCCCACTTCACAGTGCAGCAAGCCAATTAACTATGATTTGCAGCATTTGTTAAGTGACTAGGAGTTCTGCAGAGGATTCCCTTTAGGGAGAGTTGAGTTACAGGAGCGTCTGGCTTGCTGTTCCTCACGAGGATGACGTGCCATGGAATGGTTTGGCTCTGGGCAATAAAAGAACAAGGACTGCATGGAAGAAGAGCACTTTTTTCAAGATTTGAGAGGCGTCTGTCTGATTTGTCTGGTACAGTCTGTCTTATCACAACTCCGTGTTGTCATCCTCGTCATCCTTGTTCTCTGAGGTAGTTGATAGTGAAGAGGAGGATGAGCCAGCCTGTAGATTAGCAATAAGGAGAACATTCTGAATGTTTTTAGTTGAAAGAAATATGCACAATGGCAAAGGGGGGAACCCTATATCTGCCTATACTTGAACCTATCCTTACCCCTTGGATATCTAGTAACTCAGGACTACCCACTCTCTTTTGATTCTGGTGAGGTCCTTTCTGGCTCTGCTGGAAGGCTCTTTCTAGAAACAGGAGAGTCATTTGTGTTGTGCAGTGGTCTACCATAGAGGCAGCGATAGGGATAGTCTAAGACTTGAAGTATTCATGGGCAGCTTTTGTGCACATCAGCAGTATCAAGCTGTCACCACCATCCTGTATTCTTGCCTGCCTGCTGTGGCATAAATAGTGAATGATTTTAGTAATGTATTTAAAAAAAAGTAACCCATTTGTTAAATCCTATCATACTAGATCTTTGCTCTTTTCTGGCTTCCGTACCAAATCTGTCAAGGTTGCCTACAAAAAGGAAAAAGGTTTGGCTGTAGCTCTGAAAACCCAGGCTGAGGTGCTGAGACTCTCACTGGAAGAATCTGCAGTCAGAACTTAACAGTTCTGGTGGTGGTGTGTGAATAGGAATAGCATCTAGCTCCTTTCCTAGCTCCATTGTTACTTCTGCATGAAAAGAAGCAAAAATATGTTTCACAGTTAAATAAGTAGAGAAGATTCTGAATCTGCACAGGGATCTAAACAACTGTTTAAGGTGTTGCTGTTCTGACCACAGGTGCACTTCGAATTCTTGTAGCCAGCACAGTTTTCATGAGCTTTGTGGGTAAGACTTTTTTGTTAGACAAACCTCATCACATTTTACTCAGTACTTATTCCTTATCTACCCAACAATTTGCACAGTCTGGGAATAGTTTTCCTAAAGGATCCACGCTCACTGTGTTTAAGCATTGTTACTTCAGTTCTGTGGTTGAAGCAAGAGTGCCTGAGGGACAGAGTTGCCCTCCAGAATACAATATTGGAGGAATCACTTGGAACTTGATAACCTCTCATGTTCTGGGGCCTAGACCTGCAACATAGATACTGAACTGTCTTACTTGTTACTCTGAAAGAACAGAGTAACTTGCTATAATTTGGTCTCAGACTTCCTGCTAATTAATGCAAGTATGCTTTTGTAAATTTACATGCAGCTTGACTTGATAGATCCCATGTCAAATGCACACAGTGACTGGAAAGAGTTACTTTCTCTACCCCTTGCTAATCCAGTAATTTGGGACTACCTACCCTCTCTCTTGGTTCTGGTGAGTTCCTTTCTTGTTCTGCTGGAGGACTCTCTGTATAAGCAGGAGGGTCATTTGTGTCAGGTAGTGGATCTGCCATAGAGGCACTGATAGGGATATTCTGAGATTTGAAGTATTCATAGGCAGCTTTTGTGCACACCAGCAGCGTCAGTTTGTCACCACCATCCTGGACTCTTGTGGCCGTCTTGTCATAGGGTTCATTCTGGACGTTCACACCATTCACTTCCACCAGAATGTCATTCTCTTCCAGGCCTGCTTTGTCAGCTGGTCCACCTTTCTGGATCTGCAAACACAGGTCCTATGTGTGATATTAGCTCAGTACCAGGAAAAGGTATGTTAACATACAGTATGGGAAAAGGAGAATGCAAGTTCCGAGACCTTTCAATGCAGGAGGGTAATGTAGGTTTTGGAGACAGTTATCCTGGAGCACAACTTAGTTGGAGAAGGAGAAAGGAAAGAGACCTTATTGTAGTTAAAACTGTAGCAGTCTAATTTTATCATCTGCCCTAGGATGGGGTTTACCGTAAGACTTTCAATGAGGGGAAGTGAGTGGAGTGGTGGTATTCAATACTCTCTTGTTGCAGCAGAGAACAGGATTAGTGCCAACTATACAACTGAGGAACAGGAAAATTGACTGACATACATTTTTCTTCTTAAGCATTCCATGGCTCTCAAAAATCTAAAGAGAAATATTTATGAAAATAGAGTATGTCTATGGGATAGAGGAGTATTAAGGAAGAAGAAGGAAATAAGACAAAAACGTGCAAGGTAGTCCAGAAATCTGTGGATGAACTGGCAATAAATCCTAGGCCCCTTTTCTTCCAATCCTAAATCTTAACCTCCTGACAGTAATCATGCAGAGTCTTGCCCCTCCATCCTGGTTTCAAAGGCCTAACTTAGCTAAAGGTGTATACGACAGACTTTGCCTTCTTGCTATGTGTGGGTTAGCCTGGCTTGTCTGGAATGCCACTGTAAGGGAAAGAAGGGAAGAGATGTTTGTTGCCCAAACATTTCTTCCTTGGGTCTGCTGCATATTCTCCTAGACTTGAAGCCCATGGTTAGTACCTCTTGGAAGAATTGCCCAGGCATATCCTTGCTTTCATTCAAACAGAAGCCAAATCCGCTTGGGCCCTTCACCAGTTTACAGATTTTGGGTTTGTGATTCACCAGTGGCTCAGCAGGTGAGGCCAGCCTTTCTGCTGTATTGGCTGGAGGTGGATCTTGCACCTCATGGTAATACAGACAGGGAGAAATTTGAGCCTGAAAGAACAAAGGGAAAAATCAATATTGATGTAAACTTTTGCAAAATCTGTCTTTAGGCTGTATCTCATATTAAACATCTTGTTATATTTAAATACAGCTGTTGGTATAAATCCTGCTCCTGGACTTTATGCTCTTGTTCTTAGATGCCAACTTTTTTATTTTTGCTGGGGGGGAGAGGTGGGCTGGTGCTCCTCACTCCCAACCAGCTGCCCCCTGCCCCAGCTCCCCAGTGTGTGGGGAACAGGGTAGGTGTGTGGGGGACTGGAGGGGGCACAGGCGATATGGGGGGGGGTGGCAGAGCATATGCCCTCTGAGATTTCTGCACTCACAGCAGGGTGTGGGGCTGCAGCTGGGCTGGACCAGCTCCAGGTGGGAGCTAGTGCAAAAGGGAGTGCCACACTGCCACGGCCACCAAGGTGAGGCACCTCCTGCCTACCTGGCAGCAGTTCGGGCACAACTCCATGCCGTTGCCATGCCTCACCTTGGTGGCTATGGCTGTAGCCCTGTGTGCTGTGACCCACTGTGGGTGCAGAAATCTCGGGGGCACATGCCCCCCTGCCGCATCACCTGGGTTCCCCTGCCTCCACAATGCATTGCCTTTGCCCCCACCCCCAACCTGCTCCCATAGACTTAGCTGGAGGGAGCTGCAGGAGTTGCTCTCCACCACTGCTTGGCTGCCATGTGCATATGCGCGTGCACATGCATGTGGTGCCCCCTGCCTCCAGTTGCCCTTCCTGCTCCCCCCAGCCCCAAGCACCCCTTGCAGGCTTGGAGTTTGTCAGCCTGCAAGGGGAGACCCAGGGCTTCCCGTATCTTTCTTCTTTAAAGGATAAAATCTGCATTTTTCTTCAGCAAATGGAAAACCTGGATCCCTGGTAATATCTCAGGGCCTCAGTCATCGTTCCTAAGCACATCACCTTATGTCTAGCATACTCAACATAACTGAATCCATTTTTTACAACATAAAATAATATAGAAATATATTATGTAATTTTCCTCAGGTTTGGGCCCTGACAGCCCTGTTCCCGAGGTGGGCCAGGGCCCTCGGGCTCCAACGTACTTGGCACCAGTGCTCTTATTAAAATCTTGCCAAGTGACTGGAGGAAAATTGCAAAGTTGGCATAAGTGTAGACCAGGATTTCTCTAATTCATGCAGAGAGCTGCTTTGTTGCTGTGATTAGTGCTACAGTGTTAATTTTGTTATCTCTGCTCTGACATTCTGTAATCTAGTATTGTTGTAATGGTGCATATAAATATCTGGGACGAGAGAATAAACTGGAATATTCAGTGACATGAGGTCAAAATCTACTGTGTGACATGGGAGATCTGAAGCAAGAACTTAGTTGCAGACCTCTGCCATAAGCAGGGCTGTCCCTAGCAGGGGGCGAATTGCGGTGACTGCCCTGGGGTCCTGTGCTCTGGGGGGCCCTGCGGAGTGGGGCAGAGCAGTGGTGGCTCTGTGTCCAGTCACTTGCTACCCCTTGCCACTGCCAATGGCAACTTCTAAAGGTCCAGGGTCCGGAGCAGGTGCGGGGCCCTACGTGGGCTGACTTGCCCCAGGCCCTGTGCCCTGCTTGGGTCGCCTCTGGCCATAAGGAATACTTCAGGAGGGTCTGAATAAAACAGCTTTTATTCAAGAATGTGCCTCCATTAGCATGAAACCACTGCTTCAATGGACCATCCCTTTCTCCCCAGGACTTTATGTATTGACATATAAATCCATGCAGTACCCTTCGCCTGCATTTCCTTACCAGTTTATACATGTCATCTGTCTCCTTATTTACTATCAGCAATGTGGTCTTTTCTCCACACTTCTTGATCCTTTGTACCACGCTGTCATGATCCAGGGCCTCCACTGACTCCCCATTGACAGCCACCAAGATGTCGCCATCCTTTAGGTCTGCCTTGGCTGCGGGGCTGCCGGCATCAATGTCTTTAATGAAATGACCTATGCCCCAAAACCAGTACACGAAGAAGACTTTATATGATTGGCGAAAGGGCGTTCAATTGGAAGGATATTTGCTTGGGATGGTGAGAAGGGACTGAGGGTGATAAAGGTTCACTCTCTGATGAGGCCTTCAGGGTAAAACACATTCTCTGACTCATTGCCTTCTATGTTTTCCTTTCAGAGAGTCTAAATTCTCTTGCTTCTCCCCAAGAAGACCACCTGGACATTGTTGCTTCCCTACTTGCAAAATTATGCAGGGAGAGTTAAGTCTGCTTACACTTGACCACTACTTGGCTTTCACTGACATGTTTTTGAGGATGACCCTTGAGCATGCCCCAGAGGAGCTGGGGTTCAGGTGTGACTCCATGTGTCATCACACTGGACACACTGCTGATCTCTAAAAATGGGAAGCTTTCTCCAATGGGAGCTTGGCTGTAGTGGGTGTGGGAGGCTACAGTCAGCCAAATGGAAAGTTCCCCTGCCAACTTGGGTACGTGCCTGCCTGTGGAGGGGAGCTTGGCCAGATCTTGTCTCTCCCAGCTATCTTAGCTATGGGAACAGGAGAGAACAAGTCCTGCAGGCTCTCTAAATGAATGCTGCAGCTCATGCAGTGGCCTGGCTGGTGGCTTAATTCTTACCGCTGCCATTTGGCTCCATCCTCAAGTAGAATCCATAGCCATCATTTCCCTTCCTGAGCTCCACAACACGAGGTTTGAGGGGAAGCAGTTTCAGGCTGGCTGCATCTCTCTTCAGCACCATCTGGTTGGTACTGTAATACTGATCAGTTTCTTCATCTGACAGCAGAAACATAAGGTGGTTCCCAGACTTCTTTACCTGAGGAATGGGCTGGAAGTTACTGTACAGTTTGGACTTGGGATTGTACTCTACAACATGAACACACTTACGGGGCCTATAGACGTTCTCTGATGTGTTTTAATTCGAGTCTGCTCCAATGCATTTTATTCATTTGAATACTCCAGCATGCCTCACTGTCATGTGTATTAAGCGTCCCACATTTCAAAATGGCTGCAGGGGAGCTTTAACTAAAACCTGTTGAATGAGCTTTAGTTTTAGTGCCCCCGAGGCCATTTTGAAACATGGGACACTTACTACACGTGATTGTGAGGTGTTTTAGTTAGAGTGGCTCTCCAGGACCCACTCTAATTAAAACGCCCCTCCTCACCCCAGAGCACATCTGTAGGCAACCATACTATGTAGTGTAGTTGAAATGAATAGAGTCCACCAGGCCTATTATACATTCAGGTCTTACCATTCTGGATCTGTTTCTCTCTCTGTATGTTCTCCATCCTTACCTGTGTTGGCTTATTCCTATTGCCTCACTGCTTCTTTGACCCCCTGTTTTGCTGACAGAAACACTTCTTTGTGGGCATTGTGGGTAGAGCTTATGAGCCCCAGAGATTCCCCAGTTCCCTCAAGCCTGCAATTATAGCCCATGTGCCTGTGAGGGTGAAGGTAGGTGAGGTCTGGAGTGAGATCTTGCCATGACTTAGCTGCTCTGTGGTAACTGTCTCTCTGCCATGGATTACCCTGTGGCAAGAGAAAGTTGCTGAGGAAACTTGGCTTTCTTTCATGCAGGGTTATTTTGCCCCAGTTTAGCTCTCACCAGGAGGCAATTGTGGACAGAGGAGCTCTCTCAGCCACCCCTGTGTAAAAGTCAGCTTTGCCCCATGTTAACTGGGTCACGTAAAGATTGCATCAAGTTATTCATCTGTAAGTGGGGTCATTACTGGAAAAACTGTGGGAAATGCTGGTGTAAGTAATGATTAAGCCATGTGGGGCATATTGGTGGGCCTGGATAAAAGTCACCCTCCCGCATAAACCATGCCATTCAAACCAGCTTGAGCCTTATAGCCCAATTACTCAGGTACATGGTTGTGTAACTAGTCTGAAAAAAGGAAGAAGACGGAATCCTATAAATATACCTTTTCAACCACTTCTTCGTGCGTGTCATTTTCCACATTTGTTCCATTAATTTCAATAAGGCGGTCGTTATTTTGGACTCCAGCCTTCATAGCTGGTCCCTGTGGAGACAGCTCTATGACGAAGACCCCCTTCTTACCTGAAATGGGTTGCAGAATAATTATGCAAAGAAAGTTACTGGAATGTGCTGCCTTCACTGATAGCTAAGAAAATCCCATCCCAATGAAAAGTAGACTTGAAGGGACAACTTTGGACACCATGGGGCTCCATTTACTTCAAAGTTTTAATGGCACAAAGCTTTTATTCACAGAGGTTCACCTGTGTGCCTCCTCCCTGTCCTAGGGGGATCACCTCTGTGGAAGACAGTGGAGTTAATTTATTAGTTATTGTTAAAATTATTGTTTGCCTCTGTTCGGAGTGCCTGAGGGGCCAATTATGGTGGTTTGAATGGGTAATTTGGTTGCTGGTAGTGCTAATGAGAATGGAGTCTTTCTCAAAGTTTGAGTTGATGAAGGCTGCTCATTGTTTAATGTGGTTTATTCAAATTTCTGAATTTTCTGTGTTTGGAAAACTTCTAGTTTTTACCCTTGGGTTACTCCAGTGTAGCATTTGCATTGTGCCACTGTTCTGCATCTACTTTGGCATTTTCTAGAGATGCAATACAGATGTAGACAATTATGTTCATTCTACTGGCTGATATTTTGGAAGAGGCAAAGGTTGAAGGGATGGAAAAGGAAAACAAAATCTCTTTGTTCAGGTCCTTGCTTCCTAGGTGAAAGTACGTCTAGATTGAAAGGGGCTCTTGGCTTTTTTTCAACCTGTGGATTTTTGGTTTCTGTCACTTCCAGCTGCTTTTCTTCTGTTCTCTCTCAGCGTTCTGTGGGCTGTATTCTAGGGTAATTCAGAGGATGTATGTGGGACACAGTGCAATGGCTTATAGGGTTCTTCTGGCATCTGAGGAGGGTTAGTAGAAGTGGTTGTAGCAAGTCTACTACAAATTGACAGGAACTAGGAATAGATTTATGAAGAACAAGCTCCTCTCCCCATCTCACAGCAAATGAGAAGTACTGGCATACCTCTCCCCGCATCCCCTTTATACCCATTATTCTCACCCACTGTGGTTTTCAAGGAGAAGCCATAGCTGTTTCCCTCCTTCACCAGGTAGCAGAGACGGGGTCGCGGAGCTGGGGTGCCCACTCCATTCATCACTGGGGATGACAGCTGCTCATGTGGCTTCTGGGCTGGCTGCTTACCCAACTCTTCCAAGTTCAGTTTTTCTTTTTCAGCATTTTCATAAGATGCTTCATCCAGAACAAGCAATACAACAGAATTCCCACTCTTTCTAATCAGGTCCGCCACCTGCAATGGATAGGTTGAGCGCTGAGGTGCTCAAAACAAATGCCCAGATAACTGATCTAAATTCCTATCTTATTGGGATACAGTGAGTGCTAGCTATGGGTCTTCTACTACCCTTGCCATTTCATCAAGGACTTTCCTTCTCTGCTCAGGTTCCAGGAGACACTAGGATTACAAATAGATGTTGGGCAGCGGAGGTCAATGAAAATGGTTAGGAGGCTGAAGTACATGACTTCTGAGGAGAGGCTGAAGGAAGTAGGCTTATTTAGCCTGCAGAAGAGAAGACAGAGAGGGAATTTAATAGCAGCCTTCAATTACCTGAAAAGCGGTTCCAAAAGGATGGAGCTAGACTGTTCTTAGTGGTGGCAGATGACAGAACAAGGAGCAATGGTCTCAAGTTGCAGCAAGGGAAGTTTATGTTCAATATGAGGAAAAACTTTCTCACTAGGAGAGAGAGACTAGAACAGGTTACCTAGATAGGTGGTGGAATCTCCATCCTTGGAAGTTTTTACAACCTGGCTGGAGAAAGCTTTGGCTGGGATGATCTAGTTGAGGGATGGTCCTACTTTGAGCAGAAAGTGGGACTAGATGGCCTTCTGAGGTCCTTTCCAACCCTAATTTTCTATTATTCTATGATTTGTCCCAGGACAAACCATTTTATCCTGGGATAAAGTGTGGTTATTCAGATGTTGTCCTGGGGATAAATTCTAAAAAGGTTCCCAGGATGATAAATGCTAACAATTTATCCCAGGACATCAGGATAACTGAAAAGTTATCTTGGGATGGCATCATTGGTTCAATTGTAAAAGAGAAGCAGTGCATGCAGCTGCTCAGTAGACCCTGATAAGGTGGTGTGTGCACATGACAATCCTGGGATATATCTGTTTTGGGAGAAACACAAGCAGAACTTTTCCAGGGGCAAATGCAACATCTGTTCCTAGCCCTAAAATAAAGCAGGGAGCACAGTTGTATAGCTTTTATATTTCCAAAGGATTGCTGTAGCAAATACCCAAAGTGGGGCTGGAGTCTTGGAGTACATCAGGGCCCCCAAATGAAAATTATGCATACCTGTGCATGCTCTTCATTGTCTACAAATGCACCATTGACCCTCAGGATCCTGTCTCCATCCTTCAAGCCAGCTTTTTCGGCTGGACTGCCCTTGTCCACGTTCCGGATGAGATGTCCCAAAGTGTCTTTTTCGATCCGCAGGTAGAATCCATAGCCCTTTTTGTTTTTCCTCTTCAGTTTGCATTCTCGAGGCTGGAGAATAGAAGTCATTTCTGCCAAACAGGGTGGAAAAAATACAAGTGAAAGTATCATGAGGAAAAACGGGAGGTACATTTTTTTTTTTTAAATACATAATGAGCTGGCCTCTGCTATGGGAGCTGATTCAGCAGTGCAGGGCATGAGTGTTAAATAGTGATAGCAGGAGGAAAAGCAGCCCACTTTTGTGTTCTGTCTCTCAAAAGATAGAGAATGCAGAGAACAGAGCTGTCTGTCTGTTAAATTTAGGTGAAAAAACAGAGGTTAGGCTCTATCCCAGAATAATGCCTCATAGGATAGAACAGTGGCTGGTTCAGCTGATAGAAGCTGCTACTGGACAAGATGGAGGATTAAACAACTCTGAGAGCAGAGAGCAAGATGAAGGGAGAACCTGGCCTCCTTGGGAAAAATGGCCATTGCCCAGTAATTTTGATGAAGCGGAATTACATTGCAACAAAAGAGGGATTTTTTTAGAGCATTATGCTTAATGAATATAGAGATAGTTTGGAGGAACATAATATGAAAGGAGTCCAAGTCTCCATGACAGTTTGCAGCTGCTGCTTTGTGTTGGCTAGAAAATGATATTTAGAGATTTGTTTTTGGGAATTGGCTTGTAGGTAGAGTAGATATTGTAACAACAAGGGTTAATTGGCTTCTAAAAGCAGCAGATGCATGACGAATAGGTCCAAGGAGGTGATACTTCTCCTCTATTGGGCGCTGGTCAGACTACAGTTGGAGTACTGCGTGCAATTCTGGGCGCCGCAATTCAAGAGGGATGCGGATAACCTGGAGAGGGTCCAGAGAAGGGCCACTCGTATGGTTAAGGGCCTGCAGACCAAGCCCTACGACGAGAGACTAGAGAAAAACTGAACCTTTTCAGCCTCCACAAGAGAAGGTTGAGAGGCGACCTTGTGGCTGCCTATAAATTCATCACGGGGGCACAGAAGGGAATTGGTGAGTATTTATTCACCAAGGCGCCCCCGGGGGTTACAAGAAATAATGGCCACAAGCTAGCAGAGAGCAGATTTAGATTGGACATTAGGAGGAACTTCTTCACAGTTCGAGTGGCCAAGGGCTGGAACGGGCTCCCAAGGGAGGAGGTGCTCTCCCCTACCCTGGGGGTCTTCAAGAGGAGGTTAGATAACCATCTGGCTGGGGTCATCTAGACCCAGCTCTCTTTCCTGCCTATGCAGGGGGTCGGACTCGATGATCTATTGAGGTCCCTTCCGACCCTAACATCTATGAATCTATGAAAAGCCTATTTGTGACAACTTTTGCTTCAAGGCCCACTGTATTTGAAGCCAGCAGACAAACAGGCTGGGAAATTGAAAACATGTACCACTCTAATCCATAACAAAAGATAGGTTTGCCATGTTGGAGCCAGGTCACAGTGACTAGCTGCAGAGACCTTGTGATTTCTGGTTTTGAGGCATCCGGGGCATGTCCAAATTAAGACGTTGGTAAATGATCAAATTAAGATGCGTGCATTTGATGGGTTTGTTGGAACAAAGGAATATGCTGACAGAACAGAATGTGGACAGTATGATGACCACAGGGAGACCAATCAATGATGCCCAGAAATGGAGAGTCAGCAGAGGAGAGAGAGACTACAAAAGGAAGGAATACAAAAAGAGCAGCAAAGGGTTTCCGAGGTGGGATTATGAGGCTACCATGGACAGGGGGCATATCACCAGCCCATCTCGCCCACCTCAGTGTGGGGGGAATGGGTGGGAGTGGGTCTCCAGGCTGCTGACATCCAAGAAAACCACAGGGTCAAGCTTGCGTGCTGGCCAGACGTACCTCCCCTCTGTGACATCCCTAGGACTGGTAGATCTAGAATTGGGAGGTAGGAGAGGTGTGTATTTTGTTTGCCTTGCCTGTATTATTCTTGTATGCTATCATTGTGTATCAATAAAATTTGCCGATTATCGGATAGAAGGAAGTCCTGGTTGGTATGAGGGTTTGGGTCCACTCAGATTAAGATATCTGGGTCATAAATCCAATGCCAACAATTGGCACCTATTTACAAAGCACCTTTCTCTGGCCAAGTTCAATGTCTGGTTCTCCATACCCAAGCATTGTCTCCACAAATGATACGCTTACTTGGCCAAAAAAGGACTTGATGATTTTTCATTTCCCTTTCTGCTGCTTATGGAGCAAGACTGAGGGGTCTACTAGTAATTTGGATGTTCAAGACCACTATCCTACCTACTGAATCAGAATATTTTATGCATGAGACTACTTAGTGATCCTCAGATTCCAGCTAGTTCATTGCTGAATATTTTAGCAGAAACAGGCAAATAAATATGCTAATCCTAAATGACCTCTTTGGAAGGTAATAGTGTCTGTCTGGAATGTTTCTTTAGCTTGTTGATGCATGTGGCAGGGACAGCTAGTTCTTTTGCATACTTGGCTATGAATACCACTACTAGGCTGAATAGTACACTATCCCTTTGGGTGCCTGGCTATTTGAGAGAGTTATGTCACGAAAGGGCAGGTTTAAGGTACAGAAAGCAAGCAGAGAAAGCTGCTTCTCTAGGGAAGGCGTCTCAAGCAATCCTGCCAAAGAACCACATTGATAAATATGTCCATGGGATGAAGTGGTGGCTAATTTGGACAATTTAGGCTCTCTGGAAGTTCAGGCAATAATGAGTTGATAATCTATCGGGCTTCAGCAAATGGACTTTCTTCATCCTCTCTTTACTAGCAGGAATCTGTGAGATGACCACGGAAAGCTGTGTTGGAGAGATTATACATTAATCACAGCCTAGGCCGATAAAGGCCATCTAATCACCCATTGTAAAACTTTCATAATCACTGCCTTTCACTCTTTATCTTGTGGCTGATGTACACAGGAACACTTACTATGAGGATCTGGCGCACAGTTCACTTCAGGCTCTTGATCACGTTTGCCTTTGAATACACTCTGTGACCACTAGCAGAAAACAGCCCATGTCCACAGAGCCCATGAACTTCTGAGCACAGAGAATTTCATCAGAGGCAAAGGGAGTTAATTTACAGAGCATTTGACTCTGGAGCACGATTAGATTACTATGTTGTACAGATAGTCTGGCCTTGGGAAATTGTGGGGCTAACGACAGCACTTTCAAACCCCACCCCCACAATGTTTCTAAGAATCACAGACACGTTTAGGGAAGTATCCAGCAAAGTCCAGCGCCAGACAAGTTCTGGCTGTGGACTCACCACTCCAAATTTTTAACTATATGATTGATATCCCCCAGAAATTGGATTCCTACACCCATGCACCCACATACATAGACATGCATGCATGCATGTGTAAATACACACCAAGATTATTACAGTCCCTTCCCCTCCTCTGTTGGTAGAGGGGTGTGTGTGGGTCAGCTAGGCTGTCAAAAGTATCTGAAGCACAGACACTTCAGAAGAAGTTTAGAAGGAGGATAAAGGAAGCTTGGTAGCTTGGTGCTTACCCACTGTCAAGAGAGAAAGAGTAACTTAATACTCTACAATGCCTCCAGTCTATAACGCTTACACCACAGGGGATGTTAAGACTGAAGGAAGTACTGCTGCACCCATTCCCTCTATTCTTTTCAGCTTTTTCCTCACGGTCTATTCAGAGTGTTCATCCTGACAGAGGTTCTGCTCTGCACTTTAGCCCATCAACTGTAAAGAGCAATATCCTCTGTTATGTAGAAACACACAATTTACCTATTTCAGTGGAGCTTACTCCTGAAACCAGTGGACTACATTGATTAAAATTGAAGGTCATAGCAGTTTGTCCGCTGAACACTAGGAATGAGCATTGGTGCTTGAAATCAAAGAAAAACCCCAATGTAGACAAGGCTTAAACAATCAGGTGGAGGGGAAGGAAAATTCCAAAGACAAATAGAAATGCCATTCTCAGTGCAGGGAAGCCTTACATGCATGGTACACGGTGGAATCTGCTTAGTAACAAGAAGGAGATTTGGAGGATAGTGAGCAGTGAAGAAGGAAAGGAAATTCCTACCTGTGTAAGAGCTCTATCCTCAGGAATGCTCTGCAGCAGTCTCCTGGTGGTTGTAACTGTAGGCACAGCTGGACTTTGGTAGAGCAAAGGTTGATTTAAAAGATGATTTATTTAACTGAGTTTCACTGCATAGGTTATCTACTTGATAACCTGCCTTGGGCCAGCCTGCTGAGCTACAAATTGCTTCTCCCCTCTCAGCAGCTTTGAATTCCACTCCATGTTCCACTGATTATTACACCAGCAAACTCGGGTTTCTCCAGGAGTGGGTCCAAGACAAGCCTGATCTTTGAGCTTTCCCAGAGAGACAATGAAAATAAGGATCAGGGAAATGTCAACCTGACTGATGGGTGAATGCAGATATATACGTATATGTGCTATATATAGCAAACTTATCTAGACCTTCCATAGGCACTCTAAGTGAGTTTGCAAGGCAGATTGTGGCTAGAAATCAATGTTATTTGTATTACTGCAGCACCTAAATGTCCTAAGGAAGACTGTAGCCCCACAATATTAGGCACTGCAGGAAAAAACATAGTCATAGTGCCTGCCCCAGAGACCTACAATTTAACATAGAAGGAAGACAAAGGGTGGGAAGGAAGCAAGAGGCCCAGCAAAGTGCTTTCAGCAGAAGGACAATAGAAAGCCTGATCAAGGTCAATGGTAGAGCTGGGAATAGGATCCAAGTCCTCTGACTGCCAGTCACTTTATTATGAAGCCCCCGGGGACTGCACAACAGTTGAGGTAATGTGGTGTTGTCATAATGCAGCTTCATTTGATATTCCCTCCATGAGCTGGCTCCATCAGCTTCGTGGGTACTGGAGATGTGTTACAGGCTAGTAATTGCTTTAAGAACAGTAATTTAAGCCTATGTAGATGTTCCAGCGAAGTCAGAAGAGAGGGCCAATGTTTGTAGGTAGATTCCAGAAGGGTCAGAATCCATGGAGAAGAGCCTGGCACCTGAGAGGGGGGCTTGGGATACCCTTTTCCCAGAAGGAAAATTCCATACCTGGGAATAAGGTTGTGAATACCCTTTGTGACTGGAGAGCAGTCGGTCTCAAAGGCAGGCAAGAGACTGGGTGGGGGTTCTTGTGTAATAGGCCAGTGCAATAAGGGTAAAGTTCTTTGGAGAGAATGAGTCAGCAGCTGCAAGCGTTGGAGAAAGGACCTCTACGTGGCTCAGAGCACTTGTCAGTGTGGTCTGCGTGAGAGGTCCTCCACTGTGTCTGAAAGCTTTTAATGTTCAGCATGGCCTACCCCATGTGCTCAGAAATGATGAGATTGGCCCCCAAATCATGAAACTGACTTAAAAAATCATAAAGCAGGACTTTTATCGTTTGCTTTTCTGATTTCTGAGTCATTTAGGGCATGTTCTTAAGCACTGTTGCACATCTGTGATGTCTAGACCCTTAAAAAGCAGAGCTCATGTAATCATACGCCCCTGGGAGCTGGGTTTGTGGTCACTTAAGGCCTGTTATGCTCCATCTCATGCTTATTTCTATTGCAGCAGAGGTGAGTGTGGGCATTTCTGCACCCTGGGCAGGGGTGGCTTGTGGGTCAGCATTAGTGGCAATGCTGCCAGCAGCAGCGCTGGCTGGGCTGCTGTTTTTGCAACCCACCCCATAACTCAACCTCCCCCTATGTATCACTCAGCTATGTTACTGCATTGCAGCTGTGTTCTCTTTGTCACATTATTAACATTTGGGGAGTAACTACTTTAAAATAAGCATGTGTTTTCTCCACTTAGGAACTCCTGCTGGAATCAGATGCAAGCTCAGAGCAAACTCCGTAAAGCTTATCTGTGCTACCTAAGGAGTTATCTGTTTACAAGCCATCATTCCAGATTTATAGCAGGGATAAACTATAACTCTGCCAATTCAACTGTATGTTGTAGTGCCTGACTGAGCTAAGGTTACAATATCATATTTGCAGGGGCTCTCAAGGGAAGAAATTTTTGTTTGATTTTAGGATCTTGGTGCCAATCCTACGTTTTACTAAGCATACAGTAAGGTGGTGCAGAAGACTGTGAGTAAAATAACCATTGGCACTTCTATAGCACCTCCATCCCAATGAGAAATTGTAATTATTGCTGCCCCCATTGTTCAAGTGGGGAAGCAGAAAAACATAGAGATAGGCTTAGAAACTGTGCAGAAACACATCCTGGCTTGTTAATAGACACAATGAAGCACAAAAGATTACAGATCATTAGAAAAACAAGCAGATTCCCCTATGCAATACAGCTCAGTCTAGCTAACGCTGAAGGCTGAGGTGCCCATCTCTATTTAGCCAGGTAGGCAGTTCATGATTTATCCTTTCCGACTTGGGCTAGAGACATTACACATAAACCAGTTTAAATGCTCAGAAACTGGCTTAAATCTGTAACAGAACAGGCATTCAGTGCACGTAAACCAGTTTCAAAATGGCCGAAATCAGTTTGAGATAAACGTAGTTGAATGTAGACTTAACTGATTTGGCTCAAACCAGTTTATGCAATGTCTGTCTCAGACCCCTTCCTGGTTTAACTTAAACCAGAGTCCCCCAGCATCCCAGCATGCTCTCTGGGCTGCGCTCTCTGCTCCAGGCTAGCAGGGCTGACCCCACTGCTTTCCAGCCAGGGCAGGGGTAGGGGTCTGGCCAGAGAATGGTTTAATTCCCCCGTCTCTGTCCTACCAACAGGTCTGCCAGGAGCTCCCACCTCACTGCTGCTGCACCATGGCCCCTGAGGCAGAGTGGGGCAGGGAGTGGGGTTAGTCTCCCCTCTACCCCCAATGGCAGCCAGGTTTTCCCACCATTGGTGCCATGCTCACTCCCTGTGGCAGAATAAGTCCCCAGCTGTCCCCTCAGCTGAATGCGAGAGGGAGGGGGAATAACCTCTGTCCCTGCCCACCCCCTCAAGGGACCCTGCTGGCCGGTGTCTAGCCCTGCCCCCTCCCTGCCGCTGCAGCGGGAGCAGGCAGGGCCCTTAATGTGGGCAGCAGCCCCTGTCATGTCAGTGCGAGCCCCATGGGCAACTGGTGCCGCCTTAGTTGGGGGGGGGG